CCTGTCCCTATATTCCCCCTTTCAGATTTTCATCTATCTGCTATTGGATATATGAATGGTGACTAATCTGACTTCTTCAAGTTGAGTGAAGTTAGTGTTGGGGGCAGTAGGTAGTAGTCTTTAGCAGGGAGGGATGTTCAATGAGCCTCAGTGGAAGAAAGAATCTGGCACCTTGACAGTGGGTTTCATTTGTATGATCACTTGGGGATTGACAGCCTCTAGAATAAACAAACTTTACCAAGAGATTAAGGCACATATGACCAAAACATTAGCACTAGAGTGGAAAGTCATATTGGGGAAGGAGCCATGTCTACTGTTCTTAAAGGACTAGAATCTCAATTATAACCAGCAGACTCTTAGACCTAACATCTAGTTAGAAACTGCCAGCAGGGGGCAGTGATTGGAGCCTTTTTTATGTTTACCCTATGTTGTCATTACTTTTATATGTCTTTAGTTATACTCCTTTTTTTTTTTTTTTTCTGGATATTCAAGATCAGGTTAAAATGAGACCTAAATTTACCAAAGGTAATCTCGTACTATGTATCAAAGTCAGTTAAAGGTGTTTAGGCCCTACTTCTGGAATCATGTGCAGACCCCCTTAACTTTTTTGTCAGAGTCAGCTGTTAGGATGAGTCATGCTCTTGCTTGATGGTGTATTTTTCTATGAAAGACCTTTTCTCTTTGGTACCCTCCTTTTTGGCATACTTTATTGGTTGACTCCTCTCCTCTGGCATCAAACAATCTCCTTGCTTAGGTGGTTCAGTGATTCACCAAAGTTATACACTGCAGAAGAGGTTCTCTCATGTCCTACATCCTTGTTAACCTTGGAGGAACAGCGCCAAAATATTGGCCTACTTTTAAGCCCAGCTATCAGTTTGACTTTGGTCTTTAAGCCTTAGTTGTTGAGCACCCATTAGGTCAGTTGCATCAGTACTGAAGTGGGAACAGTGAGCTCATTTGGATAGCAAGCCCATCAACATATAAAGTACACTATCTCAGTAGTTTGAGAGAGGCTGAATGAGCAATTAACATATAATAAATGTATATTAATTCTGGAAATAATGCCATGTTAGCCTTCAAAAGTTTTTTTGTTCCATTTGAAAATTGTTTTAAGGATTTCAATTCTTTTGAATTTTCATAGAAAATTTTTTATCTTCACGTGTTTCTCCTTAAAATGCTTCTTGGAAAGTTTAATTTCTCTATAATGATTTTTAGGTTTTTTTTTGTGTATAGGTCTTATAAATGTAGTCATGCAATTTATTCTGATTTTATTTGTTAACACTCTTGTAACTGATGTGTTTTGTTTTCATTTGTCACCCCAAGATGGAAGTATAGTTGTTTTTCAAAAAATATTTATTTTAAAAAAAGAAATATTAAGTATAGCCAGAAGGCTCTTATTCTCTTACCAATCATGGTTGTCTTAGAAGTTGAATTCTTAAAGAATATTTATAGATAACAATTATAAAGCAGGGCCAGCCTGATAACTCAGCAGACTGAAGTGCCTGCTTAGGCAGAGCGCAATGGCTGGGGTTTGATCTGCAGCATGCCATGCTGGCCCCGCTCACGGGGCGTGCTGAGATGGCAATTGAAACTGGGTGTAGTGGCATAAGCCTGTAATCCCAGCATTTGGGAGGCTGAAGACAGGAGGATCACAAGTCTGATATACAATGTGAGACCCTATAGACCCTGTCCTAAATGCAGGAAAACAAACAAACAATTATAAAGCTTACAGAGAAAATTTGAGATCAAGGGCCAAATATTTTAGCATGTTATTCACAATGACATTATTGTTGTTGAAATACTTGTCAATGTCCATTGTAGTACAGAATAGCTATTTTAGTCAGCCATCTTTAATCAATTTCAAGACAATAAATGACATAAACAAATATTTATCCAATTTGTTATCCTTTAATAAGGTGCCATAGAAGATGAATGCACCTGTCTATAGATGTGATGGATCTTATAAGTTTTTAATGTCTAGCCTTTAATTTTTA